ATAGCGGTGGCTGAAATAAAAAGTGTTACACGATGTTACAGTTTTGCTCATCACTGTATTTATTTCGTTTAGTTTGTTTTGATTTGAAAAATTCCAAATGTCAATAACAGAAAACAGCTTTTGCAGAGCATTTATTTTAGAGTGAATTTGATTAAATGCGTTGAAATTAGAGATGGGTGCGTGAGAGATTTTGGCTCACGTTCACGCACGCTCGCGTTGATGGTTTTGTAAATCACGCACACTCACGATCTGTTAATTTTTTTCAATCACGTTCACGCATGCTTACGACGCCTAGGTTTTTAATCACGCACGCTTACGCACGCTTTTTAACCGACTTCCAGAAAAGGAGGAGGTTATCAGTTCGTCGGAATATTTTGTTTTTTTTATGTATGCTACCGCATAACTTTGGACCACGTGAACCGATTTCAAAATTCTTTTTGCATCGGAAAGGTAGTGTCTCAGAGGTGTCCCATACTAATCTTGTTTAGATCCGATCATTGGATCATGAAATGTATATATATATATATATATATATTGTTTAAGTCAGTTTTTTTTGCTATAAATTACTTGTTCAGGTACATTTTTTGTATTCAAATTGAAACTTTATATATATAAATAGAATTTCATATACATAAATGTTGTTACAAAAGCTTGACCAAACGCCTTGCCTGGGATGAACGCACTATTATTTTTTTTTACTAATCTCAGATAGACATACGTACATAGTTATGCATGTACATACATATGTGTTACGAGCATAGAAAAGAATTCACATTATTATTCATTCAAAGTAATTTTAAAATAAAAGTACATATGTAAATAGATCATATTTTTGTTTAAAAGTAATAATTGGTCGTGGTTTTCACCAAGCAGTCGTGTGCGTCTTTCTTCTAGAATTCTGTATGACATAGAAAAAACTCTTTAAATATTTGCTGAGCTAGTTGGTATGTGTAAAATTTGCCTTTAAAAGCTTCTAATATGTGGGAAATTCTTAGCTTTCTCCCAAAATTTAAAACGTCAAAACTTTTGTTTTCTGATTTTCAAATAAATCTGTATTTCCGCATAAATGTGTTCAAAAACTGTTTCTGCAGATTTATCGCAGTCATGACAGAACCTTTTAAAGGGCAATCCAATCCTTTCGGCTTGTACTCCAGCGGGCCAGTGCCCTTTGCATACTGTAGTAAGTTTGTAGGTATCTTCTTTGCTCATTCCTAAGAGAGTTTTGGTTTTAAGTGGGTCGTAGAACACCCAGAACTTCCGGGTAATCCTGAATGGTTCCACCTCTGCATGGCCTTCGAGTAATAAATTGCTGTAATTGTTGCTTTTATCTCCCTGCAATATGCAATAACGATTGAATGCCATTTTAAAGAAAATTTCATGATTCGTAAAAAGAGCATAACCATTTGCATGAGATTCCGAGTTCTACTATTAACCTTTCGAATACCCTATTTGTGAGCGAATCTCATTTTCTGCAGAGTAAAACTTAGCGAAGCACATATTGGCCGATAAAAACATTATAATTGTGTAAAATTGTGGTTCGTCCAGTGTGTAAATTGTCCAAGATCAGCCGCCCATGCTAAAAATGTTTTTTTGTTTAGGAATCGTGTCAGCCTGCAGGCACGCACTTTTTTCAGTGTGGCATGGAGAAAAAGATGCTTCGAAACACGTTTGTGCCAAACTTCGTCAAAGAACTCCAGCAAAGCACTTTTTTACGGGGGAGCCCAGAATCTCCTTTTGGATTATCCTGAATAATCAGAAAAATTCGATTCGGATTCGGAGAACTGACTGATTTCAAATAATTTTAAAAATAAACAAAGAACATTAAATTTTGCTCCTTTTTAGATTACATAAGAATTTCTAAAATTGTTTCGCTTCTTTTAGGCATTGCCGGTAATGCATAGTAGAATGTTCTACAATATTTTATTAATTGCGCTCTTTGATTCATTACGGGGAATGCAAAGTAGCATGCTTCATCGTAGTCAGATGAAAAATAGAATGAAAACCCAAAAATTATTTTATACCGTTACTTTCTGTGGAAAATTCGATCGCATAAAAATCATGTTTTCCTTTGTTTAATTTACAGCGAAGGTGAAGTCACTCAATGAAGTGAAGTACATGAGCGAGGAGGTACAATTTTACGTTAAATTAAATATGTATGTATGTATGTAAATACATACCGATCTAAATCAGTGTTGCCACCTGAAAATATTTTCAGGTACCAAAACGCCTACCAAATCAGTTTCCAAACTACCAAAATTTTTTCATCATTAAAACGAGATTTCACGAGTTTGCGGGGTTTTTCGCTACAAAAATCAGCAGTAAAAATTAAAACTACACATAATATTGTTTACAGTATTGGTTAGTTATTCACACCAATCTTTAAGATTAAACAAAATAAATTCGGGCCTTTAAATAAAATAATTAAGTTATTGTATAAAAAACTTTTGTAAAATATGTTAATATCTTTGGGTTTGATTCAATTCATATCAAACATTTTTTTTTGTGTGTGAAAAAACAAAAGCAAACATTTTATGCATTTCAATAAAAAACATTACAAATTTGATTCAATTTGCATGCACTCACCCCTTTTTACCAAACACCTATCACCAATTATTCTTTCAAGACGATAGGTAATTTCTCGTTAATTTCAACAGCTAATCGGTCATAGCTTTGGGAAGTGAGTTTTTGTTTGCAGAAAATTGTCTGCTTAAAAAAATATATGTAGAAAAAAATAAAGAAATCTTATAAGTGTAAGCAATGTTTTGAACGTGTAAACTTAAATTAAGCGAACAAATATTAATGTTCAATTTGGTTGTATTTTCAAAACATTTTTGCCTACCAAAAGCTTCATCAAACCAACCAAGCTACCAACGCATAATGAAGCTACCAATTTTGGTCCAATTGGACCAAAACGGCAACGGTGATCTAAATACCAACATACATACATATCTATGTATCTAAACTGACTTATAAAAGTTTTAATTAATTTTAATCTTTTACGACAATCTGTATTTTCTGTTTTCAATTTAATATACATAAGTATGTACTTATCTAGGTATTCTACATTAGTTTCTCTGTAAGGCATNTAAATATCCGTATGTGTTAACTTACCTGCTTTAACTCCTATTTTAATTAAAAAATCACCAAAGAAATAAAAAATCACAATAAAGCACTGCCGACTTTTCAGTTNCGTTCTCCCTTCGCTCGAAGGTATTAGTGCGGGTAAGGGCTTACTGCCAATGACATGCTCATCTTAAAATAATGCCTTCTTGAAGCGAAAGGGAAAGCGAGTCCCATCGTCTAATTCGATTCCATTTTAATTTCTGTGGTAATCGTGTTTTTTGCTCGGCAAGCATGCAAAGCGGTGACAGCACAAGACGTGTCACGCAGAAAATCACGTGCTTTGCCCACCTCTAGTTGAAATTCGTCATTTTGGAAATGCGAATTCGTATGGAGAAATTCCCGATCTAGCTTCGCATTTCAGTTTTCTCGCCGGATTTGGCTCAATGTAAATATAATATGAGCTCTAAAAAATAACGATTGACTATAATATGATATGTATATCAAATTAAAGATATTCAACTTAGTAACTCACCTTCATACCTCACAAGCTGTCCAGATTAAGAAAGAAGAAAATAACATCAAAAATAGAAAACAAGATAAAGTTTTTTCTAACAGCGATCGTCCCTCGGCAGGCAATGGAATGTATTTCGGCTATGAAAAACAGCTTCTCATAAAAATACAATCGCCGTTAGTAGTCCGCGTAAAGCAGTTGGTCCCTCCATTTCTTTAATAATAAGGTCAAAAACGGCGACTGGATTTTATGAGAAGCTTTTTTCATACCAGAAATACACTAGTAGGAGACCGCGGCACAGTGCGGCACAAATCCAAACGTGCGGCCAAAACTAGAAAAAAATTTTCTAGATAGGGCTTTTTCATTATTGAGTTAGCTCAACGGATTCTCTAAGAAGCGAAAACCGGTCACAGTAACGGCCTGGACCCTAAGGCCCCGCTTTATTTTCAGTCGGAATGTGGCCTTCGTCCAAGTAGATTTAAATGGAAAGTCATAGCCGCTGTTTAAAAAAAAAAAAACNGGTTTGATTCAATTCATATCAAACATTTTTTTTTGTGTGTGAAAAAACAAAAGCAAACATTTTATGCATTTCAATAAAAAACATTACAAATTTGATTCAATTTGCATGCACTCACCCCTTTTTACCAAACACCTATCACCAATTATTCTTTCAAGACGATAGGTAATTTCTCGTTAATTTCAACAGCTAATCGGTCATAGCTTTGGGAAGTGAGTTTTTNCTCAACGGATGCTCTAAGAAGCGAAAACCGGTCACAGTAACGGCCTGGACCCTAAGGCCCCGCTTTATTTTCAGTCGGAATGTGGCCTTCGTCCAAGTAGATTTAAATGGAAAGTCATAGCCGCTGTTTAAAAAAAAAAAAACATTGCATTCACTTAGAAATTATTACTCGGAGGACTTTTGGGTCGCTGAGCACGAATCCGGAGTTATTCTTTAAAATTTCAAAATGGCAGACCCAATACGGCGGATAATTTTTAAAAATTTACTCGGATATCTCTGAAATTTGTCACTCGGGGGTTTTCAGTATCGCTAATTTAAAAAAAAAAAACAACGTTATAAGTCGACTCCAGTGCCACCTGGCGTGAAATTTTTTTTTATACAAACCTTCTTGTAACTGTAAATACAACAAGAAAAGAATGAGCCAAATCGGTCATTTTTTTATTTTAAGATTTATTGTTTAACCATTACGTAATATTTTTTGCATAAATAAATTTTTATTTAATATTAAAGTGCCAATCTAGGCACAAAAATGTGTGAATGGAAAAGTTCTACAATATTACTGTCAAGGTATGAAATAAAAAGCTTAATAAAACAATTGCATTAAAATGCACTGTACTTAGTTTATTTACTTCTTTAATATTAAGAACCGGTTTACTGATTTTTTATTTATTATATAATTTTTTTTCGTATAATTAGAATGTTTAAATAGCATCTAGGGACATTCACCATCGGCGGTTTTTTGGAATGCTAAAAAAGAAAATAGATTTTTAGATAAATTAGTCATATTAAATTAATTTATGAAAAATTATTTATAAATATTTGTACTTTTCGTGGAAAAAAATGGGAAGAATCCTTAAATAATAAAATTAATTTTAAATACTTTATAAGCAGGAAAGTTATATAAAAATATTATTGTAACGTTTGTGTATTTAGGGGTTAGTTAAAAGACTTTAATTACACGTGAAAATGGTAGTTTTTATTTTTTACTCCCACTAGTGATGTGCGATACACTCTCATACCAATACATTTTTCCTTGGTGCTTTTTACACAAAACATTGATGGGTGAGTTCATACAATATATTGTTGGGTACATTCATACAATACATTTATGACCGCCTTCATACAATATGTTGATGGGTGCATTCATGCAAAACATTGATGGTGCGTTCATACTTTTCACCTAATATTCAATACTGCCCAGACAGTGACATTTATTGACTAACAATATTATTACACGCTTTTTTTTCTTCTTTTTAATTAACAATTCATCAAATTAACATCGGTGGTAAGGTAAGCAATAATCTGATATGTTTCATATGGTAGTTACATCAAGTTAACTCCAACCATATCTTTGAGGTGCACGACTAGCGCGCCCGCTACGAGTTCTCCAACCTCCGGTTCCTTTGCAATAACCGGTTCGGGTGTCTCTTGACCGCTTGCCGATTCTGCTTCTGAATCAGAACTGCCAGCAGTTTGACATTCATCTGAAGATGCATTACTCTCGTTCAACACTGGCAGGACTGGTTCATCCACATAGCCACCAATTGGTTTACTGCCACTGTTAACGCTATCTTGTATGTCGCACGCAAGTGGCGGTACAATTTCGATTGGTTTTACATTACGCGGCTCTGACACATTACGTTTAATATTTTCTTCAAACATTATCTCATCCCCACTGACTTCATTATTTTTTGTCTTGGCAATAAACCGTCGGTTGCGTCTAAAATAATTATCAAAATTGTCCCTAACAATATATGCTCGACCATTTACATTGCCTGCAATTGTCCCGTAGTTCCACACCTTCCCATTCTTCTTAAATATAACAAGATCACCCATGTTTAAAACTGGCCATGCTTTTGCGTTCCGGTCGTAATAATACTTTTGCTTTTCTTTTTTTTCTTTAATTTTGTTCTGAACAGTTTCCTCACTTAGATTGTTGCGACGCAGCAACGAATCCGCAATCGGCATTCTTGTTTTTATCAAACGACCAAAAAACAACTCTGATGGAACCAATCGCATGCTTGCCACAGGACTTGAGTTATACTCCAAAATACGATACTGATAATTATTCGTATCCCGGTCCTCAACACAACGTTTCAAAATATTTTTCGCTATCGCGACACCTTTTTCGGCTAGTCCATTGCTTTGTGGATATCGAGGGCTCGAGAATTTCATGATTATATTGTGACCATTCGTAAACTCCTCAAACTCTCTAGAATTAAATGGCACATTATCTGCTTTGATTACCGTCGGATATCCAAGTTTGTTGAAATTACCTTTCAATTTTTCAATAAGGTGGCGTGCTGTTTTGTTTTGAACATGTTCTACGATTAGGTAACCCGAATACGAATCAATTAAAGACATAAAATCCTGCCCCGCATATTCAAACAAGTCAACTGCCACCAAATGAAATGGATACTGGATACTGAACCAGTTCTTCTTTTTGATTGCTACGGGTAAACTTTTCACAAATGGCACAAGATGTTACAATTTCCTTTATCTGACTGCTCATGTTGGGCCAGTAGTACAGCATTCTTGCCCGTGCAAGAGTTTTTTCAATTCCCAAATGTGCCGCATGTAACCACTTACTGAGTTTATCTTGCAGCTCCTTTGGAATTACCAGTCTATGATCACGAAAAAGTAAGCCATTCTAAAAATGAAGTTCATTCTTAAACTTGTGAAACACACGGCTCAGATCGTTAAGTAAATGATAGTTTGGCCAACCGTTTTCCACATATCGACAAATTCTCAACAATTGCTCATCATGTTCAATTGTTGAACCGTACAAATCAAAATTTTGTTTTGATAAACATGCCGATTTAGTGACTGAATGAATAATTCCAGTTAATTCCGTATCTTCCATACATTCTGACAATTGAGCTCGTGAAAGGCAGTCGGCCACAAGCATTTCTTTTCCGGGTTTGTAAACTACTGTCATTTTCGGATATCTCAAAAGTGACATGAACATCCGCTGAAGTCGCATTGTTACATCGTCAATATCCCGTTTGATCAACGTCTCCAATGGCTTGTGATCACTCTCAACCGTAAACTCACGTCCATACAAAAAATAATGAAACCGCTGACAAGCGAAAACGATGGCCAACAACTCCTTCTCGATCTGAGCCCATTTTTGTTCACTTTTACTTAACGTTCGAGATGCATATGCTACTGGGTGTCCGTTTTGCACCATTACACAACCCAGCCCATCTCTTGATGCATCCGTTTGCACAATGACCGGTAACTTAGGATCATAGATAGCCAACACAGGTTCAGATGTTATGATATTAAGCAAATTTTTAAACTCCAATTCATGATCTTCCGTCCATTTAAATTCGACATCATTACGCGTTAGGTTGCGCAACCTCGCTGATTGCTTTGACAAATTAGGAATAAATTTTGCCACATATTTAAGAATGCCCAAAAATCTTAGAACGCTAGCTTTATCTCCCGGTTTTTTCATTTCCAAGATTGCATCCCGATACTTCAAATCCACTTTAAATTTTCCTTCCGATATAATATTTCCCATAAATTTAATTGCCCGTTTTCTATATTGGATTTTATCCGGATTAAACTTAATATTATTTGCCCGCGCTCGTTCAATTACTTTATTCATGATGCGATCATGTTCTTCTTCCGTTTCCCCGCAAATACCTATGTCATCAAAATAGATTATAACTCCCTCAATGTCTCCAAACATTCTAATCATTTCACGCTGAAACAATTCCGGAACAAAATTAAGTCCGAATGGCACGCGATTGAATTTAAACCTCCCAAACGGAGTCATAAACGTTGTTAAATTAGAACTTGCTTCGTCTAATTCCATTTGCCAATAACCACTTTTCAAATCAAGAACCGAAAAAATTCTTTTATTTGCCAAACCCGACATTAAGTCATCAACCGTCGGAATCAAAAAATGTTCCCGCCTAATACATTCATTGAGTGGCTTAGGATCTAAACAAATTCGAAGTTCATTTGAGTTAGGCTTTTCAACTATCTGTACATTGTTGACCCAGTCAGTGGGGTAATCCACGTGTGCGATGATTCCATCCTGTACCATTTTATCAAGTTGCGACTTCAATCTATCTAACAATGACATTGGTATCCGTTTCTTATAGTGCAGGACTGGTTTGGAGTTTTCTTTCATATTTATTACGAATTTTCCCGGAAATTTACCCAACCCCTCAAAAACATCACGATTATTTTGCAAAAACTCCTCCCTTGTTTGTGACAAGCACACGACCGACCCTACATCAGTTCGCCTTACCAATCCGAATCTTTCACATGACTCGAGTCCTAGAATCGGTTCGCACACGTCATCGACAACAATAAAGTGAGACGACTGTTCCGTATTTGACTGTTCATCCAAACATTTTAATTTAACTGTTCCGAAAACACTTACTTTATTTCCATTATAATCATAAACCGAATAATTTTCATTTTTGTTTTCTAATCTTATTCCAAAAGTTTTAAATATCCTGGCCGGAATGCAGTCCACATCCGATCCTGTATCAAGCTTAAACCTAACCAATTTATTCGCTATTCGGTATTCCTTGTACCATCGCTTCCTCTCATTTCCAACATAGTTTGAATTTATTCTATAAATACAATCTACCATAATAAACCTATTCGCACTTTCATCAATGTTTTGTACAAAATTACCTGTGCCTTCCCAGTTGAGGGAGTGTTGCTGTTGTTTTACATGATTATAGCTGCTGTCCGGTTTCGTTCCTTTGTTGCCCGTTTGCTTTCCTTTTGATTTGCACCAACGTTGGAAATGACCTTTGCGTCCACATGATCGGCAATTGATATCTCTAGCTTTGCATGTTTCCAAATGCCTTGCTGCGAAATCGCCACCACAGTTATAGCAACGACGTGCTACTGCGTTGACTGTTTCCTTTGGCTCCTGTTCAGCCACACTGTTAACACTTGTTTGACTAGTTGTGTTCAACAACGCCTTATGTGCATTTGCAGCCTCATACATCTTGCACGTTTCAATGACTTTCTGCAATGACTCATCCTTTCCTTCCAATAACTTCAATTGTAACTTCTTGTCATGCACACCAATGACAATTCGTACCTTCAACATACGATCATTGTATGATTGTCCATCCAATTTGTATTCACAAAACTCGATCTGTTTTCGAAGCTCTGTTTCAAACTCAACAAAAGGCTGCTTTTCTTTTTGTACAATATTGTGAAATTTGAACGATTCCATTAGTATGTTCTTCTTTGGTATACAATATCCATCAAATGCTTTCAAAACATCATCCAGGGATCGCGGATTATTATTGGAATTTGGTGACACAGCCTCAGCATTTTGATTTCCCAGAATCCCATCAGTTGTCCCATCGTTCGGGAACAATGTGTTGTATATCTCCATAGCTTGGGAGCCGATTAACCACAAAAACGTTGCTATTTTTTCTGGTTCCGTTTTAACATTTTTCCCCGTTGCCATCATGTACATTAAAAATGTACGTTTCCACATTGGCCACCCCTTCGCCAAATCTGCGCAGTTCAATTCCGTTGGCAGTCGCTCGTTCGACATGAGTTTGAGTTAAATGTACGAATTTTCAAACAATAATCCAAAATATTTACGACAAATATTTTTATGATGCTAAACTGGTGATTATATCGACTCTCCACCGCGTGATGTCCTCAAAATCCGACGATTTACAAAATGGCGTTCAATTTCCCAACAGGAAGCCTTTGTTCGATGCCGCATATAATTCGATTGTCGTTAATCCACAAAAATTGGCTATCGTCTTGGTAATCCACTTTCCATAATATTTTTCAGTCGTTGTTTAATAATTTTGCCCCTGACACCATGTAACGTTTGTGTATTTAGGGGTTAGTTAAAAGACTTTAATTACACGTGAAAATGGTAGTTTTTATTTTTTACTCCCACTAGTGATGTGCGATACACTCTCATACCAATACATTTTTCCTTGGTGCTTTTTACACAAAACATTGATGGGTGAGTTCATACAATATATTGTTGGGTACATTCATACAATACATTTATGACCGCCTTCATACAATATGTTGATGGGTGCCTTCATACAAAACATTGATGGTGCGTTCATACTTTTCACCTAATATTCAATACTGCCCAGACAGTGACATTTATTGACTAACAATATTATTACAATTATTTTATAGTCAAAGGACTAGCTCTTTCTTTTGAAATATTTTTTTTTTTCGCTTTGTATTTTTTCAATATTAAAATATTTAGTACTAAAATATATTGTAGTTCATCTAAAAATCAGTAGAATAATTATTTTTTTTGTTTCTTTACTTACAAAGTTGTCGCAGGCAATTCTCTGTCTTCAGAATGCATAGATTGTTGAATGATTTGGTCTCACCAGCATCGTCCGTGCCACACACAGGTTTAAAGTCCTGCAAATCGCAATTCAGTTGACATTTTACATTCGTATCGGATATCGCGAACGAATGCACGAATGTGATGGCGTACAGGACAACTGTTGGGGAAGAAAAGACATTTTTTGGTTTACGTTTACGTTTTTATTTCGATAAGAGTCACAAATTAAAACAATAATTATGCATAGGTATATAATTACTTATGAGAACAGACCAAAAAAAGGGCTTTGAAAATATCTTTCTGATAAATAGATATGTACTGCATTCCTTAAACTTTCGGTCCTTACCGCCACTATTTAGGTTTGTGCAGATCGAACCTTAGTTTGTCCTTTAGTAGACATCATTTAGGATGTCAACGCTTTTTGTGAATATAAAGAGCTCTTGTGATCCCAATATGGAGATATCATGTAGTTTACCAAACTGAGTAGCTCCTTTTACATATTTACCCTGAAGGGAAACTACGAACTTGTGTATATTTTGATGCATAAATCAATTGCATCGTTTTCTAAAACATCGAAGTACCTAGCTATCTAGATTACTAACTCCTTTACCTTTATTTTTATCTTTATACTCTGGTGTTCTTATAAAAACGAAGTGTTTAAATTTACCTTGGTCTTCATCTTTGTTTTTATCATTTATAACTTTGCCTTTATCCTTTTCATCTACATATTCACCTAGAAAATGTGAGGTGCGATGATATGATAAGATGTTATGTGATATGGTGTCAGGTAGTGCCTTGTAATGTGAAGTGATATAATAGGATGTCATATCATGCAAAATGATATCACATCATATGATGTTCTCTTATATGATGCCATATCTTGTGTATCCATAACAAAATCGATATTAACTTCGATAAAATATCGATAACAAATTCTTTAGAAAGTATCGATAGCAAAGTCGATAGCAATATCGATAATAAAATCGCTACAAATATTCATTATTACATCGATAAATCCCGACAATCCCGAAAATCTCTAAACTCCCGAGATAGTTCCCAGATTGAGTCCCTGTGTCTCTATCTACATATACATTTTGTCGTCTAAAGTACAAAACCGCGTATCAACAAAATGCAATACCGCGTATGTAAGGTTGCATACGTTATTTTCTAGAGAGTAAAAACACTCATATTTCAAAATGGTTCTCTTTCTTAATCAGCAATCGCATTTCTGGCTAGTATATTTCAAAAGTCGGCCGCTGTGGTGTAGTGGTAAGCAGTGCGCGCTTTCACTCATCAGCACCTGGGTTCAAACCCTGGTCAAAGCAACATCGAATAAATATAGAAAATAGGTTTTTTATTAACAGCGGTCGTCCCTCGACAGGCAATGGCAAACCTCTGAGTGTATTTCTGCCATGAAAAACAGCTTCTCATGAAAATACAATCGCCGTTCGGAGTCGACGTAAAACGGTAGGTCCCTCCGCTTTGTGTGACAACATCAAGGCGCACGCCACAAGTCGGAGGAGAAGCTCGGCCAAACACTAACATATGTGTAAGCGCCAATCTATTATTATTATTATATTTCAATACGAATGGATTAGGATTGAGCCAAGAGCTTATGTGAGCAAATCCAATTTTCCAGAATGACGAAACACTGTTTTGTAATTTAAACGACGATATGTAATTACCTTTATTTTAATCTTTCTTCCTCTATCTTCATCTTCATCTTTTTCTTTATATGTACTTATCTTTATTTTTACCTTTATGTTTATCATTTTCTTCATCTACATATTCTCCTTCACCTTTGCCTTTATATAAGAAAAGTGAAGTAAAATGTTTAAGAAATTTTTACTTTTGTTGAAATAACTAAAAAATAGAACGAAACTTTAGTTTTTATAAAATAACTAAACAAAGTTATTGGCAGATGTTTTACAGACTTGGTAGATTTTTTTTTCAAGTTGATGGTAAATATTCGTTTTCGCCAGTGGTAACCCTGGACATGACCTCCAATACGTGCATGGGTATGTATGTATGTGTACATACATATTTATGTAGCAAAAAATGTGTTTTTGGCATTTTAGATTAGAATATTTCGAAAACTTGATTCGGAAAAGCTATTCTGACTTCAGATTCGGATTCAGAACGTCAAAAAGCTTCGCAGATATGCAGCTAGTTTCTGGTTAGAAACTCAAATTAAATTTGCCGGTCTGTGTTATTTAAAAGGCCTCAAGAATAGTCTTCCAAAAAGGCTTTTTCCGCAAATTGGCATTAAGAAGATAGTATCTATTGCTAATAGTATTAAAGTTTTAAAATAATCAGCATTATCATGACTTTTATTTTCCCCGATCCGGTTCACTTTTCAATTTGGTTTTCATGTATTTACTATGGGCGGATGAAAAATTTTCGGGTGAATTTTTTTTCGGGCGAAATTCAGGATAAGTCAGAATGTGAATAATATGCCTTTTATATTTTATCTGTCGAATACTTTTCTTGTGTTAAAGCATCTGTGCCTATTCAGGTGAATCAAAACGTATTGTTTGATAAAAAGACGCATAAAATCCCATATATATATATATATATATATTTTATTTTTACACTACACCTACTACATTATTTATAAATTTGAATCTTTCAATATGTAGGAGCAGCAATATACCAGCTGCCAGAAACATATTTGCCAGAAATTCATAACTAACAAACACCTTACACCCCTCTCTAAATATGGCCTCGTGCATATACAATACTTATATGTGTAAATATGTACCTACAAAAAATACACACATACATATCTGTTTTTGATAAATGCAAATAACAATAGATTGGAATTGCGCTGAAAATGCCCATAGAATAGTTAATCAACACCAGGCATTAGGTGTTTTTTTTTTTTATAAAATTACTTCATTACCCATTTTAGTCCGATTTCATTTTTACTCGGAAGTTTCCTAGCAGATGTACATTCATACATACATACTCGTAAAAACAAATTATAATAACGCTGACTCTTATCTGATCAGTGCGCAAAAACCCCACCAACAACAATTCCACACATGAGATATATGTACATATGCATGTATGTACATACATATGTATATAGAAAATCACAACACGCGAATCAATTGACGCCAATTGGTCTGGCCGATTGCATGCCAGACTCATCGCAAAGTCACCTCGGACACGCCGACCTTTCTGACCACCCAGCACTGTGACAATTGATTGTGTGCTGGTGATTCTGTGAGTAATTTTAAATGGCGTAATAATAATAATACCTAATTTTTATAAAATGTTTTCACGTACAATGTACATATGTACATATGTATGTATTTATGTATGCCAATTTAGAAAATTATTTGTAAGTACTCGTAATGAACAAAACAAAGAAACGAAAACAAGTAAGGATTTGTAGCCGGTTATATGTATCTATGTACATTAGGGCGGGTAAATTTTTATACCCGAGCGCACTTGTGCACAAGGGTATTATAACTTTGTTCACATAACGGTTGTTTGTAACAGGCAAAACGAATCGAGATAGATATAGACAAATGTATACATAAATGATCAGAATGAAAAGAGAAATCGATTAAGCGGTGACTGTCTGTCCGTCCGTC